TCCACTCACCTCCAACCAGGCCCCACCTCCAACATTGGGGATTACAATTCAACATGAGATTTGGGTGGGGACACATATCCAAACCATATCAGTAATGCATATGTTAATTAGCTTGACTTAGCCATTCTACAACACATACATATTTCAAAACAACACATACAAGATAAATATATACATTTTATTTGTTGATAAATAAGTAAATTCATTAAAATGTTATGTTTAAAAAGTTTTGCCAAACATAAACAGGTAGGGTAGTTCACCTGGAAACTACACCACTCCACAGAGAATTTATTTGATTTGATTTCCGATTCAAAGGAATGAATTCAAAGGTGAGTTTGTAGGGTAGCTGCTGGACCAGATGACTTTACAATTGTCCCTTCTAAATCTCCAAAGGACTCCATGGCCCAGGAGCACTACCAACAAAATGTCAACCTTTGGTCCGCCTTCTTCATATCCTCCAGGGAAGTTCTGACCAATTTCTCTTATAAGCTTCCCACATTGTCCAAGAAAATTACCACAGGCCTCCAGGATGAGTCTAAAGGAATCTTGACCATGCACAGTGTATTAGTTCACTTTCACACTGCTATAAAGAAATACCTGAGACTGGGCAATTTGTAAAGGAAAGAGTTTTAATTGACTCACAGTGCCACATGACTGGGGAAGCCTCAGGAAACTTACAATCATGGAAGAAGGCGAAGGGAAAGCAAGGCACGTCTTACATGGCAGCAGGAGAGAAAGAAGAGTGGACTGGTGAGCTGACAAACACTTTTTAAAACCATCAGATGTCATGAGAACTCGCCCACTATGACACAGCAGGAGAGAGAGAAGAGTGGACTGGTGAGCTGACACACACTTTTTAAAACCATCAGATGTTGTGAGAACTCGCCCACTATGACGAGAACACCAAGGGGAAAACTGCCCCCATGACCCAGTCACCTCCTACCAGATCCCTCCCTCAACATGTGGAGATTACAATTCGAGAAGAGATTCGGGTAGGGACACAGCCAAACCATATCACACCGGCAGGAAGTTTTGTGAAACAAGCCCTGGATGCCCAGGGAGCCTAGCCAAGCTCAGAAGGCAGCAGTTGGGAGGAAGGGAATGGGTTCTTGTGGGTTTGGTTTGTCTCTTAAACTATACTCTAAGTCCTCCCTACTCAAAGGAGGAGGAAGAAGAGAAAAGAAGAAGATGACTACGATGACAAGAGAAAAGAAGAAGATGACTACGATGACAACAAACAAGTAGTAGACGAGATCTTGGGCCAGAAAAATGCTGCCCTGGATGAAATGCAAACTGAGATTAAACAGTTCAATTTTGACTTCAAGCGAGCGAGAGAGAGAGAGAGAGAGAAAGAACAAACGAACTACCAAGTGTTCAGTGAAGCAATAATTTCTGCAAAACAATAGCAAAAGCAGAAAAACATGAGTGCATGGAAATTACAGCAAAATAACAAAAGGAGAAGGAGCATGAATCAGCAGAGCCTAAAGAAAGTAGAAGAATTAAACAATTGTGGAAACAAAATTAAATAGGAAGCTGCACAGAGAGAGTGGACTCTGCCATTCCTGGTGAGGAAGGAAGAGGACAGCAGGGGATGAGAGGATGCTAGTGAACAGGAACTTGCAGGGCAATGGCACCCAGTCATCACGACAAATCATATTTTAATGCAATCTTGTCTGACCTACGGCCCAGAACGGCTTTGAATGCAGTCCAACACAAATTCGTAAACTTTCTTAAAACATTATGAGATTTTTTCTGATTTTTTCTTTAGCTTATCAGCTATCATTACAACTGTACTAGTTCGTTTTCAAACTGCTATAAGGAAATACCAAGACTAGGTAAATTATAAAGAAAGGAGGCTTAATTGGCTCACAGTTCTGCAGGCTGTGCAGGCAGCATGATGTATAGTTCCTGCATGAACAGGAGGCGGGCTATATAGCATGATGTACTGATGTTCAGTATGTTTTATGTGTGGTCCAAGACAATTCTTCTTCCAGTGTGGCCCAGGGAAGCCAAAAGATTGGACACCTTTGCTTTAATGCAATATTCTTAAAATCAAAATTAATGCATAATGAACAAAATATCAAAATTTTAAATAAAGACAGAATCGATTTTTTCCTTTTGCCTCAGGCTCCAATATGATTTCACAGAGCACTGGAGGAGAACACTGAAAGAAAAATGAGCAAGAAGAAGTGAAAATAAACACAGGTTTTAGAATAATTAAAGAGAACATTATGGAAATTGAATGGATAGTTATTGTACTTGAAAGAAACCCTTAGGCAGCCAGGCCAAAAACCAAATGGCAATAAAAACCTCGGTCTTTTTCGTAGGTATGTTGAGGTATGTATTAGCGTGTGTAGCAATACCTAACTCACACGTTTTGTTTGTTTGTTTGTTTGTTTTTGAGATGGAGTTTCGCTCTTTTTGCCCAGGCTAGAGTGCAGTGGCATGATCTCAGCTCACTGCAACCTCTGCCCCCCAGGTTCAAGCGAGTCTCTTGCCTCAGCCTCCCAAGTAGCTAGGATTACAGGCACCCGCCACCATGCCTGGCTAATTTTTGTATTTTTAGTAGAGACAGGGTTTCACCATGTTGGCTAGGCTGGTCTAGAACTCCTGACCTCAGGCGATCCACCCGCCTCAGCCTCCCAAAGTGCTAGGATTACAGGCATGAGCGACCACACCCGGCCCCTCACATGTTTTTAATTTGTGTTTCCCTAGTGACCCAAGATAGATACCTCTACACATGCATAAAAAGATTGAGGTTGTGGTTTTGTTTTCTGGCCTGACTGAAGGGAGTCTGCTCATCCTTAATCTTAAAGATCTGCTGGACCATAGAATGGTCCCTTGGATTCCTATGGTTCAGCTGAGCCTAAACTAAAATTTTAAAATAACCCCGACAAAAGGAAGTGATCACAGCCGGACACAGCACTGGATGTGGTATCCGGAGCTCATTTCTGTTCAGCCTAACGTGCAGTGCTGCTCCTGAGAGCTGACTGTGAGCGAGGAAAGAGGTTCTGGGAAAAGCGAGTGTGCATCCCCCTGCCTCTGAGAAATGGTAGCAAACACTTTAAGCCACCCTCCTTTTGAAAATAGTTTACATAGCAAGATTTAATATTGCAAATGCATCGTAAATAAGTCATTGATCAAGACTCAAAATTAAGAGAAACATGGATTCCTGGAAAGTCAGTATCAGTTTTGCCCTAAGGGCATCTGCAAAACCTCAAGGTCTAATCACTGAGAGGGGCTTAGAGAGGGGACACAGGGTCCCAGGGTGAGGAGTCTCAGAGGAGGCATTGGCATAGAGCTGGAAGACTGTCTCGGATCATTCTTGCTGCTAGAGCAACACGCCACAGCCTGGGCAAGGTATATGTAATATTTATTTCTCACAGTTCTGGAGGCTCAGAAGTCTAAAATTAGGGCACCAGCAGGTATGATGTCTAGTGAGGACCCAGTCTCTCTGTGTCCTCCAGAGAGGACAAATGCTATGTCCTGACACAGCCAAAAGGACAGAATGACAAAGGGGGTCACATGCTGTGGGAGGCCTCCTTGATAAAGGCCGTCTTCCCACCCACAGTGAAGGAGCCTCATGACCTAATCATCTCCCCAGGGCCCCACCTCTCCATACGACTGCGCTGGAGATTATATTTCTTTCTTTTTTTGAGATGGAGTCTCGCTGAGTCTCCCAGGCTGGAGTGCAGTGGTGTGATCTCGGCTCACTGCAAGCTCCGCCTCCCAGGTTCACGCCATTCTCCTGCCTCAGCCTCCCGAGTAGCTGGGACCACAGGCGCCCGCCACCTCGCCCGGCTATTTTTTTTTTTTTTTTTTTTTTTTTTTTGTATATTTAGTAGAGACGGGATTTCACCATGTCAGCCAGGATGGTCTCGGTCTCCTGACCTTGTGATCTGCCCGCCTCGGCCTCCCAAAGTGCTGGGATTACAGGCGCCGCCACCGCGCCCGGCCTGGAGATTACATTTCAAGAGGAATTTGAGAGGGAGCACAAACATTCAAACCTTAGCAGAACCTAAGTGTGAAACAGGAAGTAAGCCCTGAGTCCGCAAAAGAGCCTTCCTGTGTTGAACCGTGGCTGGTGGAGAAACTCAGCCGAGACTTTGTGAGCGTCAGTCAGTCACTGTGTGGATTTGCACCTCAAAGCAGAAAAAACCCTCGCTTGTAAAATTTGATTTTTGTTTTTTTTTTGAGACGGAGTTTTGCTCTTGTTGCCCAGGCTGGAGTGAAATGGCGTGATCTCAGCTCACCGCAACCTCTGCCTCCCGGGCTCAAGCGATTCTCCTGCCCTAGCCTCCTGAGTAGCTGGGATTACAGGCACGCACCACCAGGCCCAGCTATTTTTTGTAACTTTAGTAGAGATGGGGTTTCACCATGTTGACCAGGCTGGTCTCAAACTCCTGAACTCAGGTGATCCTCCTGTCTCGGCCTCCCAAAGTGCTGGGATTATAGGCGTGAGCCCCTGCGCCAAGCAGATAAATTTTAAATTTAAAAAGTGATGCCAGATGGGTAAAGCTCCTAGAAAACTAGAGGAAATGAATTCCAATGAAGGAAGTCAGTCAATCCCAACTAAAGCTTCAAGAAATTCCCACAGATAAAGTTCAAGGTAATTGGTCAGCTCACTGTGAAAAAAAATGTCAAAACTCACAAAGAAATAATACAACAGAGAACCAAGAGAAAAAGCAGAATCAGACCCAGACTTCGGATCAGACACAGAATGTGAAATAAGTTTAAAGGGCTTAAAGAAATAAAAGAGAGACTTAGAAATATGAACAATTAATGAGACACTATAAAAATTAACAGGGGAACGGATACATGAACAACACTTTTAAAAATGCATTATATAGTAATTGAAATTAAAAACTCAATGGACAGCAAAAAAGCTGCCACAAAAAAAACTGAGGAAATATAAGATATATCTAAAGAAATTATGCATAACCCAACCAAATAATAAATCAAAAAGATTTAAAAATATGTTTTGAAGAGGGAGAGTCATGGAAAGGAGATTGAGAAGATTTAATATAACTAGATTCCAAGAAGGAATAATAGGGAAATGAAGAAAAAGCAAAATTTGAAGAGATAAAGCCTGAGAATACTCTACAATTATTTGAAGGTGGTAAGCCTCACATCCAGGAAGCAGTTGGCCCTAAAAAGGGATACATAAAAAGAAATCTGCAATAGACATGTTACCAGGGAAGTTGGAAGCAACAGAAAGAAAAGATTGACTATTTACAAAAGATCAACAAATAACCGATGACGGGTATGTATCGTTCAGAAGATGAGCAAATCACCCGGTGACCTTTCACGTTGTTAGTTATCTCTGCTAAGACCTTTTTCTGGGCATTGGAGCATCCTCAGTTCATTCCCAGGATAGGCCAGGAGTGCGTGACGCCTACAGCCCTTGGCCCATGATGAATGTTAAATATATGGCCCACCTTCCTTTCTCCAGGTGTGGATAACTCAGGAATGCTCTAGATAGCTTCTTGGAGCCTCACAGGGAGACGGAGGGCCAGCCCCCGACAGGAGCAAATGGCCTGATAGTGTCCCCATCCGCTGCCTCAGCCCCACTCACTGCCAGCGCTTCCTGACATCACATCCCAAACTAGTAAGCACCCACATCATCAGGGCCAGCTTCTGGGGGAACCCAAACAGGACAGGCTCCAGCACAGCAGCCTTCTGCACCCCTCACCCTCTCAGCAGGCCATTTTTCCTAAGGAAGCCCTCCTTCCACCTCATTCTTTTTTTTTTCTTTTTTTTTTTTTTGACAAAGTATTGCTCTTGTTGCCCAGGCTGGAGTGCAGTGGCACGATCTCGGCTCATTGCAACCTCTGCCCTTCGGAGTCAAGCAGTTCTGCCTCAGCCTCCCCAGTAGCTGGGGCCACCACACCCAGCTAATTTTTTGTATTTTTAGTAGAGACAGGGTTTCAGCATGTTGGCCGGGCTGGTCTCCGATTCCTGGCCTCAAGCGATCCACCCGCCTTGGCCTCCCAAAGTGCTGGGATTACAGGCATGAGCCACCGCATCCGGCCCACCTCATTCTTTTTTTTTTTTTCTTTTTTTTTGGAGACAGAGTCTCGCTCTGTATCCCAGGCTGGAGTGCAGTGGTGCGATCTTGGCTCACCACAAGCTCCGCCTCCCGGGTTCACGCCATTCTCCTGCCTCAGTCTCCCGAGTAGCTGGGGCTACAGGCGCCCGCCACCACGCCTGGCTAATTTTTTTGTATTTTTAGTACAGATAGGGTTTCACCTTGTTAGCCAGGATGGTCTCGATCTCCTGACCTGGTGATCCACCTGCCTCAGCTTCCCAAAGTGCTGGAATTACAGGCATGAGCCACTGTGCCCAGCCCGGCCCACCTCATTCTTTAGAGTCATGGCCTGGCCGTGACACCAGCCCCCAAAGGCATGGTGGCCAGGTCTGTACATATCCAGCCCATTCCCTGCATAGCAACCCCAGGAAGAGGGGTCCCCACTAGTGACTTCTTCTGAGGAAAACAGTCATGCAGGGTGAGAGTTTAACCAAGGACATGAGGGATCTGCTCAGCCAGCAAGGCTCAGTACAGTTGGGGCAGGTGTCTGCCTCTTCTTTCAGTGGACTGCAGGGGCCCAGTGAGATGATGTGCATGGACACGCTGCAGACTTTCCAGGAGCGTATGCTTCTTCACACACGAGCCAATGCTGGCTGCACATCCACTACGCACACAACACTGCTGGGAAGAAAGAAGAGCAGTCATTCGACCCAAAGCAGAAGCAGATGACAATGATTGTGACAATTATTACAGCAATGATGCGAGTAGGGAAAAGCAAGTTGTAACTAAAATCATAGGTAAAAACTACGTGGAAGACATCAGGAAGGGCTAGAAGGAAGTTAATGTATGTGAAGGCACTTGCGCTTTTGGGAAGAGGGAGGGTATATTACCTCCTAGCCATCAGGAATTTTTCAGCTCCATTATAATCTTATGGGACTAATTCTGTCGTTGACCAAAACGCCATTATATAGCACATGATTCTGTGTGTGTGTGTGTGTGTGTGTATTGTATGTGTGTTTTTAGTTTTTTTTTAATTAATCATGTTGGTTTATAAAAACTTAGAAAACAATCACAAGGCTGCTCATAATTCCACCACCCGAATACGATCTTTTAAATATTTTAGTATATATTTTCAAGTCGTTTTGTTAAATATATTTATTTTACAGAATTAAAACCAGATTATATGTATTTTTTTCTATGCTGCCATTTATTTAGAAACATTTCATGAGTATCATTTCATTTCCCAGGTTATAAAACATGGTGTCCAACATATTTTCAATGACTGCATAATTCCCCACTATATGGATGTAACCAAAATTTATTTAACCATTACCAGTTTGGGGGCCAGAAAACTATACTCTGTTTTAGACTGCATTATAAGCAATGCCATCATAAGCATCCTCAAGGTTTTTGTACGTCTAATGGTTTCCCAGCCTCTTAGCCACTTTATTTTTCTCCATAACTAACCAACCATCTTGTTTATAACCAACTTACTATACATTTATTTTATTGCCTATCTCCCTCGATCAAAATCTAAGCCCCTTGAAGGTAGAGCTTTTCATCTGATTTATTCCCAATGCCAAGTACAGTGCCTCGGATGTCATAGTCACCAAATAAATACTTGTTGGATGTGGATGGATGCATGAATGGATGGATGGATAAACAGAGGGATGACATGAGAGAAATACAGAATATGATAAAATCCTGGAAAAATGGGCAAACAGAGTCAAATGCTTTAATGGAGGGATTAGGGAGAGGCAGGAGTTTGTGTGAGTTCTCTTGGTTCCAGAAAACTGTTTGTGCTTGTGGATGCCAAGTGTGGGTGGGGTTGGGAATCTACGCTACGTTCGTCGGCCAGGGGCTCTTTCAGGCCCCTCCCCCTCCCCCTTTTGAAGTAGACCACCCCCAGGTTCAACCAGTTTCAGACTCTACCATTTTGCTAACCCAAGCCTTTTTTCTTTTTTCTTTTTTCTTTTTTAAGACGGAGGTTTGCTCTTGTTGACCAGGCTGGAGTGCAATGGCGCGATCTCGGCTCGCTGCAACCTCCACCTCCCAGGTTCAAGCAATTCTCCTGTCTCAGCCTCCTGAGTAGCTGGAATTACAGGCGCATGCCACCACACCAGGGTACGTTTTGTATTTTTAGTAGAGACGGGGTTTCATCACATTGGTCAGGCTGGACTCTAACTCCTGACCTCAGGTGATCCACCCGCCTCTGCCTCCCAAAGTGCTGGGATTACAGGTGTGAGTCACCTCGCCTGGCCCCTAAGCACTTTCATAGGTTAAATGAGATTGTGCCAAATAAACTGTATTTCATTATTTTTTTCCCAGTGTTTAAGGGCATAGTTGTTAATAAGGGTGATAAAAACAAGAAATATAACTAAGCCAGAGAGCCTCGACATAAAATTTTAAAATAAAAGGGTTTGGGCCGGGCGTGGTGGCTCAAGCCTGTAATCCCAGCACTTTGGGAGGCCGAGACGGGTGGATCACGAGGTCAGGAGATCGAGACCATCCTGGCTAACACAGTGAAACCCCCTCTCTACTAAAAAATACAAAAAACTAGCTGGGCAAGGTGGCGAGCACCTGTAGTCCCAGCTACTCAGGAGGCCGATGCAGGAGAATGGCGTAAACCCAGGAGGCGGCGCTTGCAGTGAGCCGAGATTGCGCCACTGTACTCCAGCCTGGGCGACAGAGCGAGACTCCTTCTCAAAAAAAAATAATAAATAATAAATAAATAAATAAATAAATAAATAAATAAATAAATAAAAGGGTTTGAATGCTTACAAAAATAGGGACAAAGCTACAGTAATCCAAACAGTATGGTACAAAGACAGACAGACAGACAGACAAAATAGGATAGAGAGCCCAGAAACAAACCCTCAGATATTTAGTCAAATGATTTTCAATATGGATGCCAAATCCATTCAATGGAGAAAGGACAGTCTTCTCAACAAATTATGATGGGAAATATCAACAAATTATGATGGGAAATCTCAACAAATTATGATGGGAAAACTGAATAGTCATATCAAAAAATGAAATTGGACTCTTACCTTATGCCATAAACAAAAATTAACTAAAAATTGATCGAAGAGCTAAAAGTATGAAGCTTTTAGAAGAAAACCTAGAAAATCTTTGTGACATTGGATTTTGCAATGATTTCTTTGATATGGCACCAAAAGTTCAAGAAATAATACAAAAAAATAGATAACCTGGACTTTATCAAAATTAATGAAAGCCACTCATCAAGAGTGACAAGGCAATCCACAGAATGAAAGAAAATATTTGCAAATCATCTATTGGGTAGGGGATTAACATCCAGGATATATAAACAACTCCTAGAACTCAACAATAAAGACAAACAATCTAATTAAAAATGGAGAAAGGACTTGAATAGATACTTCTCCAAAGAATATATACAAATGGCCAATAAGCATATGAAAAGATGCTCAGTATCATTAATCATTAGGAAAATACAAATCAAAACCAGAATAATATACTACTTCACAGGCATCCTAATGGATGACTACTATTTATAAACGAACCAAAACACTCAGAAAATAACATGTTGGCAAGGATATGGAAAAATGCTCTGCATTGCTGGTGGGATGTAAAATTGTACACAGTGGAGAACAGTATGATAGTTCCTCAAACAATTAAAAACATAGAAACCATATGACTCCAACACAGCACTTCCATGGTTTATATTCCAAAGAACCAAAAGCAGGAACCTAAACAGATATTTGTACATTGCTGTTTATAATAGCATTATTTACAATAGCCAAAGGTGGAGCAACCCAAAGGGTCCATTGACAGATGAATGGATAAACAAAATGTGGTCTCCACACACAATGGAATAATATCCACTCTTAAAAAGGAAGGCTATTCTGACTCATGCTACAACATGGATGCATCCTGAAAACATTATGCTAAGTGAAATAAGCCACAGAAAGACAGACACGTATGATTCCACTTCTGTGAGGTACCTAGAGTGGTCACAATCAGAGAAACTAGAATAGTGGTTCCCAGCAGCTAGGGGGAGAGGAGAATGAGGAGTTTTAGTGCTTAATGGGCACAGAATTTCTGTTGGGGTCAGGAACGTGTTTTGGCAATAGACTGTGCTATGCTTGCACAACAATGTGAGTGTAAATGTCACTGAACTGTACACTTAAAAAGGGGTAAATGGTAAATTTCATATTATGTATATTTTAACCACAAAAAAGAAAAAGAAACCAGCCGGGCGTGGTGGCTCAAGCCTGTAATCCCAGCACTTTGGGAGGCTGAGGAGGGTGGATCACCTGACACTGGGAGTTTGAGGCCAGCCTGACCAACATGGAGAAACCCCGTCTCTACTAAGAATACAAAATTAGCCGGGCGTGGTGGTGCATGCCTGTAATCCCAGCAACTTGGGAGGCTGAGGCAGGAGAATCGCTTGAACCCGGGAGGCAGAGGTTGAAGCGAGCCAAGATCACAGCATTGAACTCCAGCCTGGGCAAGAAGAGCGAAACTCCATCTCAAAAAATAAAATAAAAAAATTTTTTAAAAAGAAAAACCAACTGTTCACTGTTTAGAAAGTATGAAAGAAAGAAAAGTTTTTAAATATTGAAAATTTTTAAAGAAAAAGAAACGGCTCAAAGCAGTAGGTCTGATGGTACCCCACAAATGCAGCTGACCTGACTGGCACAGTGGACGGCCAGTTCATTTGTGCCCATAGAAAACTCTTTGGCCTGCCAAGAAAGCAAGGGGTGGTGTGGCCAGAAGGTCTGAGACCCTGGGGACAATCAAGTGACCAGGAAGCTAGTTCCAGGAAAGAAAAGGTTTATAGCCACTGCTCAAAAACACAGATAAGAAATCTAAGTCAATGTATTGTAAAAATAAAATGTAAGTTCACATTAGAATAATATTTAAGAAAAATCATTCAGTGGTATCTGAACTGGGTAGCCTAGTGTAAAAGATTTTTCCAGGGGTCCTTAGGGAAGACCTGATCCTACATCTTGGAGAAATAAAAAATTTAAAATATATATTTTCATGTTGCCCAAAAGTTAGGGGTGTTTGAAAACTCTCTGAAATGACAAAGTAGAAGAGTTGGAACAGTTTGCACTAGCCGAACGATGACCACATAAGCATCGAATATGAGCAACTATCACTCACTGGAAGAAGCTGAATCTGTAATTATCCTCAAAATTACATGATTTTGGCCAGGCACGGTGACTCACGCCTGTAATCCCAGCACTTTGGGAGGCCCAGGCGGGTGGATCCTGAGGTCAGGAGTTCAAGAGCAGCCTGGCCAAGATGGTGAAACCCTGTCTCTACTGAAAAAAAACAAAAAACAAAAATTAGCCGGGCGTGGTCATGCACGCCTGTAGTCCCAGCTACTTGGGAGGCTGCGGCAGGAGAATCACTTGAACCCGGGAGGCAGAGGTCGTGGTGAGCCAAGATCTCGCCATTGCACTCCAGCCTGGATGACAAGAGCGAAACTCCATTTAAAAAAAAAAAAAAATGATTTTATAAGAAACATAAAAAGATCCTTAAATGCAAAAGGGGAAAGCGTAATAAGGGGGCTAATGCTTACTAATTTTAACAAGAGGAGGACAGTGGGGTCTGGGGGAGTCCTACCCCTGACTTTGGGTGTAGGTGGCAATGAGGCAGAAACCGCCTTGTGTCCTACCTAAGAGAAAGAGGGAACTCCCACAGCCAGGATCTGCCAAAAAAAGGTCAGGACTACCAACAACATGGGCGAGGGGGCCTCTGGGGTCACGCTGTTAGTCGCTGCGTAGAAAGAGGGCTCGAATCTAAAAAATGCAAGAAGGTAGGTCACCCAAGGGTGGGGAAGGTCCTGGCTGGCGGATGAAGGGGCCTCTTGGCTCTGGGGCAAGACGATGTCAAGGGGAATGACAAACCAAACCAATCCAAAGCCAGGGGACTCTGTGTCCTGGGTTCTCGGACAAGGTGACTGGGAGGGAGCCCACCAAGCTCAGGGAAAGGCCTGGCCTCCGTCATCCAACTGACCTCTGCCCTCCTTTCAACCTCAGCCTCAGCGTGGACCCGGGAGTCCTGCGTCCTCTCGTCCTGCTCCGCCTGGGCACACCACGGCCGCGAACCTCCTGCTGGCATCAGCCCCTCCCCAGCACCGGCTGTGCGCTCCCGCCCCGCCCCCCGCACACACCCCCGCCCCACATTCCCGGCACTGCAGCCTGAGCCTTCCTAGAGTTACTTAATCCACCCCAGCCCCAGGCACTGAACCACGCGTGCAGACCCCTCGTCCTCAGTCCTGCGGAGAGAGGGTCCCCACAGCATTTCTGCTCCTCCCCCAAGACTGCGGCAGGGCCCAGCACCAGCAGACCCCACACAGTGAGTACCTGTAGGGCAAGTGCCTCTTTCGTTCTCATTAATAATAGTCAGCTCCCTTCTCCACGGGAAGACCCTGCCTTGCAGCCCCAGCCTGGCCTGCCCCTTCTTGCAGGCCCGCTCCGAATCCTGGGTAGGACTCGTGACGAGGCTCCGGGTGGCCGAGCCCTTCCGCGAGCGGTGCGGTCGGCTGCGCTGGCGCTCTGGGTTGAGGGGGAGGGGCTCCCACACCTGTGCGCGCCCGGGAGCGGGGACAGCGGCGGGGGCGCCCTGCGCACGGGGGCGAGGGGAGACGACTGCGCCTGAGGGAGGCACAGCCGCAGCCGGGTGGGAGGCAGAGACACCGAGAAACAGAGACCGGGCGATACGCACAGACAAAGCCGGCCCGAGCGCGGCGCAGGAGGCTACAGCCTGGCGGAGCAGCCCTCACCACCCCTGCGCGCCAGCGCCGACGCCCTCCCCGGCCCGCCCCTCCCGCCGGCCTCCGGAGGCTTAACCCTCGCCTGCCCGACCCCGCGGGGCCCCTGGGGCGGCGGTGGGTGGGTGCGGGCGCCGGGCCTCCCCCTCCAGGCCTCAGCGCGCGGCGCCGGGAGCTGACCGTGGTGCTGAGCGCGGCTCGCGCTCCGACGCGGTGCCCGACCCTGTGGCGGCCGCGCCCTGCTGCACCGCCGGCCCCCTGCGGTAAGTCGCCAAGGCCCCGAGAGGCTGCGTCGGTCCTGCCCCGCGGATGTGGACCCTGGGGGGAGGGCGAGGATTGGGGAATTTGGTGCGTTCTCTGGCGCGATGGACGGGCTGAGTGCAGGAAGCAGGGTCGACACCCTCCACCCAGTGGTGCCCGGCGCAGTCAGGGGCCTGGGGGCGGTGACCCTTTAGGTCCGGGCTAGGGAAACGGAGAAACCGTCCGCCCGCGGATGCAGGAGCTAGGGAGAGCCAATAGGGCTGTGAGGCCCATCTCCTTGCCCCTGGGCAGTCCAGAGGCGCCCTCTGAGGAGGTGGGCCCTTTGTCTCCCCAACGTGGGGGTTGGGTGGCTTGGTGGTGCTCTCACAGCAGATTCTATTTCTGCTTTATTCTCCATTCCCACCACCCCCCCCCCCCAGAGCACGGTCGCTTTCCCTCCCCACAGTGGCCCTCACTCCAGCCCTCCCATGACAAGGCAGACTACTACTGAGAACGCTGTTGCCCCACAGCTCTGCCTCCAGCCCAGTTTCCAGAGGTTCCTGGGCCTGCGCTTTTTTATCACCATACACTCCTTTGTATCTCACTGCTGCGACTTTCCTACATACCAGGGAAGGCGTAGAAAATACCAAAACTATTAGCCAAACGTTTTATGTCTCAAGGCGTTTCTGTGGCATGTGTATTCCTCCAGGGTTTTTATTTTGCTCCATGAAAGCAAACACCCAGACACTTCCATGTTAAGAAAGGAAAGACAGGCACAGAATTACCTTCTCAAAGTAAAAAGGAAAAGCTGGACAGCTAAGCCTGAGTTCGTCATGTAGAAAAGCAACCAGTATAATAACTTCGTTTGCCCAATTTGCAATAAATTCATGTCTGTGTGTGCCGTGTAAAGCACTGTGATGTGAGGTGCACAGATACAGGAGTTTCTGCCACCACCTTCTCTCCCCTAAACCCTGCTTGGGCTCCTAACTCGCCTCCGTATCTCCACTGTCCATTTTCACCTGCATCTTTGAAAGTGAGAATTGGCCCTTGTCACTTGCCCTGGAAGGCTGGCTCACCGTGGCTTGCAGATAGAAGCACGGCCCTCACTGAGACCTCAGGTCAGGTGTGGTGTGCGCAGCCCATCTCCAGGCCTCATCCCTCTGGCTTGCTGCTCTGGCCACTTGAGCCGCTCTGGCCACTGGAGCTGCTTTCAGATCCTTAAGTATTCTCCTTCTCTTGCGCCTCGGGATCTTTCTGAAGCGTGTTCTGTCTGCCTGGAATATGCGTCCAATGTCTTTTGCCTGGCTGTCCTCTTCTTTTAGGGTTTGGTTTAAATATCACATCCCTGTAACAGAATTACTTAAGTAAATACATTGTGTGGTCTCTGTTCCCATGGAACTTGCAAGTTCATCTTAGAGATGAAAGACTCAGCCCAGGGCCCTGGTGTCACTGAAACCTGTCTTAGAAAACGATGCACATAGGCCGGGAGTGGTGGCTTACACCTGTAATCCCAGCACTTTGGGAGGCCGAGGCGGGAGGATCATGAAGTCAGGAGATCAAGACCATCCTGGTCAAAATGATGAAACCCCATCTCTACTAAAATTAAAAAACAATTAGATGGGCTTGGTGGTACGCTCCTGTAGTCCCAGCTATTCAGGAGGCTGAAGCAGGGGAATCGCTTGAACCCAGAAGGCGGAGGTTGCAGTGAGCTGAGATCACGCCACTGCACTCCAACCCGGAGACAGAGCAAGACTCCATCTCAAAAATAAAAAAATAGGAATAAATAATAAAAGAGAAAATGATACACATAATAAAAAAATTAGCTGGGCGTGGTGGCACACGCCTGTAGTCCCTACTACTCGGGAGGCTGAGGCAGGAGAATCACTTGAACCCGGGAGGCGGAGGTTGTAGTGAGCCGAGATCCGCCACTGCACTCCAGACTGGGCGACAGAGCAAGACTCTGTCTCAAAGAAAAAAAAGAAAGAAAGAAAGAAAAAGACAAAGAAACTAAAAGAAAATGATTCACATAAACCGTATCACAGAATTAAAGTCTCAGAGTCTGCATCCTGTTTAGGGAACTTAGGTGTAAACATTTGACTCAGATGTCTCAAATATAAAACAGTGCATTTAATTAAGTAATAGCTCACCGCCTGCTATAGCTGGAGTCCCGGAACTTAAAAGAATTTTCAAGCTCGTTGGGGAGTGAGACCAAGCACCAGAATGAATAGTTGGTGGTTGCTGAGCCCCGCAGACAAGAAGGCACCCAGAGGGTAGGGACAGGTCTGAGCCCTCCTTGGGGGAGGGATATGGCACTTGTGGGGTGGACCTGTCATGTTTCTTGCTGGGGTTCCACTGATGGGTCTTTAGCCACAGGGTTACAAAACAGTGTGTATTTTTGCAACTGAGAACCTGGGCACATTTGGCCTCTGCCCTCAGGCAGCGACAAGGCCAGCATCTGGCTGTCCACATAAATCCCACTCTGCCCCAGAGAACTGTCACAGGAGTTGACTTCTCAGCCTGCCTCCAGCCAAGCAGTGGGCCCTCCAACCACCCAGGGAGTTCCCACCCCCATCATAGGTCACACATTTCCAAAGAGACAGGTTCCGATAAAATATTTTAATACGGATTTGGACTGGACCGAACACAGACTAGAGTTCATGGGATGCTCCAGTATTGCTGCGCCTCTGGCTCATCATTCTGTGTCCTGTGTTATTGTTCCGTCTCTATGTAAAGTGCTCAATCAACTCAGAAGATGGGCTTGGCATTGTTAGTGTCACTGAGTCCGGCCATCTATAGCAATGACAGCTATTTTAAAGGATCATTTTTCAAGTTCAGAGTGGAGTGAAATTTCCAACTGTTCATGATTTTAAATCAGTTGACTGTTATGAGAGCTGAGAAACTGGTAGTTTTATTTATAGACATCTACATCAGATAAAACATTTGTGTTCTTGCAGTTGCAAAATTCTGCACACAGTGAAATAATCCTTGCTGTGCCTGGCTGGAGTTATTTCCAATAGAATGTCAATCAAGATTTTTTCCAAAACATAGAAAAGACTAAGGGAAATAGAGATCTCATCATGAATATTTCCAAAATTTCCTGCCATAGGAATTATTATCACCTTCAATTATAATTTTTCTAAATTTGTGTGAGCTACCCTTCTTGCTTTTAATTTTCACTTTCATTGTGTTTTACAATATTTTTCATGAAAACACATTTATTATTCTACTTTTAGATTTCCCACAAAAGTGTCTGAGCTGTTGGTTTATAGACTGTCAGGTTCGGAATCAGATAGACCTGGGTTCAGATCCCAACTCCGTCACTTAACACCTGTGTGACGTGGGTCAGTTCATTGACTTCTCTGAATCTGAATTTATCCTTTGTAAAACGGGGGTTACAATCGTTTGCCCCTCATACGGTGATGGGCCAAGCTGTCCATCTGGTTAGGTGGGTGGAACCAAGACTCCAGCCAGGGTCATCTGAGCCACAGCTTGGAGAGTAAGCCCTGTGCTGTGTGCGGCAAAGCCCGGCAGAGCTGGGGAGGCCTTATCACGGCTGCAAAGGATTGTGCCGAGTGGAAAGTCTGCAGGTGCAGGGTGGGTAAGGCTTAGGCATGCACCATCTGGCCTGAGGCCGAAAAGCCAGTGTGGCTGCTCAGGGCACTCTCCCTCTGCCCAGGGTGCCACCAGCAACAGCTGAGCTGCAGCCACAGCCCAGCCCAGGTTCTGTGGCTCTCCTGGCATGGTGCCTGCTGCTTCTCATCCTCCCCAACCAAAAGTCTGAGGTGCTCCTCCAAGGGGAGGAAGCACTTCCCTCAGGTGGGAGCGGGTGGAGGCTGGTCGGCTTGACCCTGCCAGCCCCTGCAGTGCCAGCTCTTCCACCCCTTCCCATCTTCTTGGCCTCAACGTGCCCACTGGGCTATGAGGCAGCCCTTCGCCCCTCTGGGTCCTCATGAAGAAGCATTTCAGGGTCTCTGGCAGGTAGCTGCAAGGCTTACTTGGGGTGGGGTGTGAAAGACACACAGGCTGACGGAGCCCCAGGTCATGTTCATGCCTGCTGCAGGCTTCCTCACAGCCAGGAGCTGGGGGATCAGTGCAGGGCTTCCTCTGGGTAGTCCTTATGGAGAGGCGAAGGAGCCAGCCACAGTTTCTCCCTGGCCAGGACTGACTGTCAGGCCACTCATTACCAAGACAGGTGGAGACCCTGGCAGACAGGGGTGTTTTGGGGGAAAGGAGCAGGCTGAGTCCAGGGCCATGAGGACATGGTGAGGGGAACAGAGGGGAGGGGCTCAGTCTGCCCTCCCTTCCTGGGTACTGAAAGTCTCCATAACACACCCCAAGGCAGCATGTTTAAAACTAAACCCTAGCTCTTCTTTCACCTTGGCTCAGCTCCCTCCTCCTCCCTCATTTCCCTCCTCCAGCTGTCCAGCACTGTCCCTGCCTGCTTCTCTCTCCCTGCTGTCGCTGAACCCTGGCGTTCTTCCCTTTGGAAGACCCTACTACGTTACCCCTGCAGCCTCCATCTGCCTTGCTCCCCATCCTCAGTCCTCTGGCAAGTACTCTCTGCTCATAACTCGTTTTTTCTGTCCTCCACTCAGAGGTCAGATGCGTGGCCCTAGACCGCCAACTTCATTAAAGTCCCTGCTTCCACCCGCCCATCGGAAGATGGCTGTAGCTCCCCACTGATTTCAGGGTAAGGCCGGATGCCCTAGCTGGGCCGGAACAGTCAGTTGGCAAGCACTGCTGCCACCTGTCCACCTCCATGCCCAGGGCGGATCCCAGGACCCTTTCCCATTGAACACAGACCGGGCATCAGAAACCTTCTCTGGATGGCACTGCAGGTGTCAGTATGCCTCAGTGATGTGTGCACAAAAGGTGGTGGCTGCCTACCTTTGCAGCCCTGCCTGCCCACCCTGTGTCCCATGCTCACCTCCCACCACGATGCTCTGGTTCCTCTCTGTCCATGCTCTGCATGCACCGTGAGGTGCTGGGCTGTGTCTTGCCTGATGGCCTCTGTAGATGGAGTCTTGTCCACCCCGCCCCCCACAGACACACAATCCTGGAGTTTGCATTTGCACGCCCCCACAGCCCCAGCTGAGGGCCAGCTGCCTTCAGCCCAGGAGGCAGGCAGGCGTGGGTGTCCCTTTAGCTGCCTGATGAAGGAGGCAACTGCTCTAATTGGATCCTCCACCCATCTACTCAGAAGGGCCATGACACACACTCCTAAGGACAGGCTGCAAGTACACTAAGGAGCTGTGTGTAGAATACCGGGCACTCTGCACAGAACACGGGAGTCTGAATGGGCCAAATGAGCTAAAAGGGGGATTGGGAGAGTCAAACACTCATGGGTGCAGCAATCACCAGGCCCCAGGCAGCTCTCATTTGGCTCCTACTGTGTGCCATTGTCTACAAAGGCAAGAGCAGTGAGTGGGCGTGGCGGGGCTGCTGCCCTCTTGCTCCCCCACCTGCAAGGAGGCCCCTGCAGAGAGTGAGCTGTGTGAGAGGGGTAGGCAGGGTCTTCCAGAGTCTGTGATACTGAGTGCCTGCTGCTTTCCTCCACAGCCGCCGGGGCGCTGGCAGCATGGAGCTGAAGAGAGGAAAGACCTTCATCAAGTCCAGCCTGCAGGTTTCCCATGAGAAACCCCCGGACCCAGCGGCCGTGGCGCCAGCCAGGGAGGGGGCAGGCCCCTGGTCAGTCCTGCCAGGAGGGCAGCAGAGGCCCCAGAGTGAGAAGGACCCCCAAGCCAGCCCCAGTGCCCAAGAATACGACAGATGCCCCAACAGAGGGGCACAGCCAGACCCCAAAGGGGGACCCGCAGCCCTCTGCGGAGCCACCTTCAAACCGGTGCGAAAGAGCAAGACTCATGACAGCGTGTCTGGAGCAGGCAGGGCCATGGCTGCCACAGGGCAGTTGGTGGGCAGTGCAAGCTTCCCGGGCTCCCCGGGCAGCCGGCGCATGATCGACTACCGCCACTTTGTGCCCCAGATGCCCTTCGTGCCGGCTGTGGCCAAGAGCATCCCCAGGAAGAGGATTTCCCTGAAAAGGCCCAAGAAGTGCTTTCGGAACCTATTCCACATTCGCAGAAACAAGACTGAGGAACTGGCCTCGCTGGCGGCTGAGGGGAAAGGTCTGCCCTCTCCAGGGGACCCATCAGACCCTGGGGCCGGCAAAGCAAAGCCTTCCTCCCCCCAGGTGAGGGCCGGGGCTGGACAGCCTGTGCCAGGACCTGTCGGACAGCGAGCTCCTAGCCGATGCATCCTTTGGTCTATGCAGGGCCCTGTGTGAGGACGTGGCCTCACTGCAGAGCTTTGACTCGCTCACGGGTTGTGGGGAGGTCTTTGCGGATGATAGCTCGGTGCCATCCCTGGAGCTGAATGAGGGCCTGGAGAGCCCAACCCAGGCAGCTCAGGGCCTGGAGAGCAAGGTTCCCAGGGGCCCCCTCCAAGGCAGTGTGGAGCAGCTGGCCTCGCCCGCGCAGAACGAAGCATCTGACTTCACCAGGTTCTGGGACAGTGTGAATCGCTCAGTGCGGCAGCAGCAGCGTGCCCTGCTAGGCCCATGGCTTTCGGGCCCCCAGGGCACAGACAGGGACCAATCCCGGCTGGACACAGCTGGGCTCCCTGAACTGCCCCTCTGCCCCTGCAGGGACCCTCGCAGCGGCTCCAAAGCCAGCTCCATCGACACAGGCACCCCCAAGAGTGAGCAGCCCGAATCCGTGTCCACGAGTGACGAGGGCTACTATGATTCCTTCTCGCCAGGACTTGAGGAGGACAAGAAGGAAGCTGAGAGCCCAGGCACTCCCGCCGCCACCTTCCCACGGGACAGCTACAGTGGGGACGCCCTCTACGAGCTCTTCCATGACCCCAGTGAGGGTCCTGTTGGCCCCAGCCCAGATGATGACCTGTGCGTGTCTGAGAGTCTGTCAGGGCCGGCCCTGGGGACGCCACTGTCCATGTGCAGCTTCCGAGTGGGGGCCGAGGAGAACTTGGCCCCAGCACCAGGCCCCGACCTGCTCAGCCAGGGCTTCCTACAGAGCTCCTGGAAGGGCAAGGAGTGCCTGCTGAAGCTGTGTGACACTGAGCTCGCCATCACCATGGGCATCGTCAGCTGGCTGCGTCGAGGCCCCACGCCCCGTGCCCCACCCACCCCTGGGCAGCCTGCAGCTCCATCTGGTCCCCAGGGAGCCCCCAGGGCGCCCACAGAGAAGTTGGGGGGCAGGGAGGGCCTGGCCTCAGATGCAGGCGGGGCAACAGTTTGCTCAGCACCCAGCAGGCAGGAGCTGTGGGCACACACGGGCACCACAGACCTGCTTGCCGGAGAGAGCAAGGCCCTCGGGGTGGCCACACAGGGGACTGGCACACTGTCCAGGGATGCCTCTCGAGAGGAAGGGTCACGAGGTCACTCTGAAGACTTGTTTTCCTCTGTGGAGTCTGCAGCCACTTCGACAACAGATACTTCCAGTGAAAACAAGGCCCCAATCCCTTCTGCCTGGCCCTGCTCCCAGAAGGAGCCTGGGCCACCAGGCGTCCTGGGGTGTTTCCGAGGCCCCTGGAGGCCAGGTCACGGGGCTGGCACTCTAGATGCAGAGCCCATGCTGGCAGGCTGTGTGGCCCGTGCGGCAGCCCTGAAGATCAGCTCAAACGACCAGCCCCCGGCCGCATGGCCTCCAAGGCAAGACGTGGGCAGTGGGCTCTTTGGGCAGCGCCGGGCCAGGGGCCCCGACATTCTGGAGCAGAAACAGTCCAGCGGCTCCCCCAGCATGACCACTGTCCATGGCCTACCCTACTCGGCCAGCACACCGGACCAGAGGTGTCGAGATCATGTCCAGGACCTGAGCTGGCTCAGGGTGGAGCCCCCCGGGCTGGGTGTCCAGGCCTGGGCCTCTGTGGAGGACCCGGCCCTGCAGCTCAGCACGGCGGCTGTGGAGCAGGTGGCATACAGCAGAAAGCTGGACTCTGAGCCCCCATCAGCCCCTGCTGCCCAGTGGAGTCCCCAGGGCCACCATCCAGAAAGCCTGGGCCTCACTTTGAACTGCCAGCGGGAAGGGGGGGTCTCTGCAAGTGCCCCAGAATGCCGCTGCAGCCTCCTGGCCCGTGAGGGCCTCCTCTGTGGCCCGCCAGAAGTGGGGGCCTCCAGGCCAGCCGTGGCGGAGCCCCATCTGTAGGACAGGCTCACAGGCACCAGGAGCTGCATGTGTCTTCGTGACCGCTTTCAGGAGAGCCTAGGACTCAAGTCTCTATCTTTTGTCCCTGATGTGGGGACTGTGTTGGGGGGAGGGGGTGGCAGGACTCAGGCATGCGGAGGGTAGCATGTTCATGGGGAGGCATCCTTGCCTGAACCCACCAGCCCAGGCAGCCCGCCGCCCCACCACCAAAGAGAGCGTGAAGCTGCGGCTGCCTTGCCGCTCCTCATACAGGGGGCTGGGGAGGGGCGGGGCTTGAAACCGATGGGAAAAAAGAGCTGCACCTTGTACATGGGAAGCAGAGAGCCAATGAGTCTGCCTGGGGATTGTGTGGGAATCCCGAAAGACACAGTCCCAAATGCCATAGTCCCAAGCGTTGAGAATCCAAAATATTAAAATTACTCTAAAATCCAAAAATCACAATCCCAAAATATCTAAATCCTGGAAATATAATTCTGGGAATTTTTTTTTTAATTTTTTAAAAGATATTTACATTTTAAAAGGATTTGAGAAACAGAAAAACAACAGAACACATCATTAGCCACTTTACACAATAAAATAGGCAATAATACATATTTTTGCAAGCATAAACACTCAGGTAAATACTAATGACAGTTACACAGGTGTGAGTTATTAGCAGACAAACTATATTCATAAACAAGTCAAAATGGGAAATGTATACATGCACGTCACTATGCTTGGTAATTGCGTGCACCCGGCTTGATATCTGCAGTCACGTCATGACCAGCAACCCGTCTTTTGATGAAGTCAGTCTACGATGCGTCACCACCACACACGCAGTTGCCCAAAGAGCGGAGATGGCAAGAACTTTCATCTCTCACAAACACAGATGTACAAAAATTACATCCCTTCATGTATGGAGGAAGTTTTGATGTTTTTACACACAGGCACAACGCTTACACACACAGTCAACCTGGGATGCCGGCAGGGTGGCTCAGGACGAAAGCTTCAGGACCCAGGAGGGCCACGGGTGTAAGTCCCAGAGTCCAAAGGCCAGCGAGCCTGGAGCTCTGATGTCAAGGCAGTGGAAGAAAAGGCTGTCCCGGCTCTGAGAGAGACCAGTTCGCCTTCTGTATTTGTTCCCTCTGGGCCTCAGCAGATCGAATGCTGCCCACCAACATTGAGGGTGGATCTTCCCCACCTAGGCCCCTCAGACTCACATACTCATCTCTGAAAACACCTCACAGCCATGCCCAAAATAACGACCTCTAGGTATCCTTAACCCAGTCAAGTCCACACCCAAAAGAAGTCCGCAGGTCCACCCCTTGTCAACCTGGCATCCATCTGCATCCCCTTCAACCATTCTCAGTCTCCAAATAAAGCCCTAAGCAAGGTCGTAGCTCCACCCAACATGATGCCGCTATCCCGGGATTGTGATTTTCAAAACTTTAGATGTCAGGGATTTGAAACTTTAGAGATTTGTGTCTTTCACTATTTCAATGTTGGGGACCAGTGCTTGGGATTGTATCTTTCAGAATAATGATCCACACTTGTGTGAGGACTGCGAGGCTCAGGATGGGAGACAGATGGGGGAGCCGACCTTAGGAGGGCCCACTGAACCAGCCTCAGTCTGGCCCCAGTCTGGCCTACTTGCTGCCCCAGGATGGGTGGCTACAACCTGCTGAGGGCCTGAAGGGCGCTCCTCAGGAACACTGTATTACCCTGTTTTGTGTTGCTATAAAGGATAACTGTGACCAGGTCATTTATAAAGAAGTTTATTTGGCTTATGATTCTGCAGGCTGTACAGGTATGGCACCAGCATCTGCTGCTTTTTTTTGTTTTTTCTTTCTTTTTTTGAGACAGGGTCTCACTTTGTCGCCCAGGTGGGAATGGGAGTGCAGTGGCACGGCCTTGGCTCACTGCAGCCTCTACCTCCTGGGCTCAAGCAATCCTCCCATCTCAGCCTCCCAAGTAGCTGGGACTATAGGCGTGTGCCACCATGCCCGGCTAATTTTTCTATTTTTTTTGTAGAGACGGGTTTTCACCATGTTGGTCAGGCTGCTCTCAAATTCCTCAGCTAAAACGATCCATGCGTCTCAGCTTCCCAAAGTGCTGGATTACAGGCGTGAGCCAGCCAGCATCATGCATCCCTGTGCAGCCCTGCCAGGGCTGGCTGGACCCTCCTACCCTTGTTGATGGGCAGTGCTGGATTGTCACGAGTCATCCCCTACAAACAATGATTTCCCTCCACTTGCACTCTCTAACTAGAGCCATGGATGGCCAAATGCTCTTTGGGAAGAAGCCAATGGATTCTCCTCAGCTCTGCCTGCAAGTAAAAAGCCTTTTGACTCCACCCCCTCCACGCTGTCAGATTGCCATTCCCCTTCAGGTAAACTTCGAATGGGGATGTGGACCTCACTCCCCAAAATGTCACAACATACATGCAGCACCCCAACATTCAGAACCATGAAGGGCGAAGGTGGCTGATGTCTGTAGGAGGGACAGGTGTCCGTCCTGGCCCAGTGTCAGGCCAGCAGGTGCAGGGACAGATGGGCCATCCACATTCTCCAGGATTAGCTTCTACCTCAACCAGCACATCTCAGCAAGATGCCAGGATGGGGCTCCACAGGCAGCCGTGAAATGGGTTTCTGGAGGAAAGACCAGCACAAGAAAAGGGGTCAGTCAGGTCGCAGGCAAACTGCTAGGGAAATCCCATCTCATGCAGGGCTCCCACCAAGAGGAGCGTGCGTTGTGCTGCCCTGGCTCAAGAAGAAGGCAGCACGGGATCTGCAGCTGAGGGTGGCCCTCCCACCAGGGGACGCTGATCCGTGCCTCTCCTGACTGCCTGACGCTTGGTCTCTGGTGGCCCTCTCTCACAGGGCTCCCTGAGGCCTGCAGCGAACGGGGCACAGGCTGCACGTCACAGGTTCCAAAGTGTGCAGCAACTTCTGACCAGGCCCATCCAGACCTGGAGCCCCTGTGGAGCCACATCTGAGCCCTCGTCCCGAGACTCATACACAGGACCACAGCAGCATCACCGAGCCAGGCCGGGGGCCCAGATCTGCCTACCTAATCCTTGCATCAACCGCAGTGCAGTTGTCAGCCCCGTTTTTCAGACCTGGACACGGAGGCACAGGGTGCTGGTATGACTTGCCCACAGTTAGTGTGTGAGGTGATGGGTTTTGTCCCCTCCCAGCTCCAAAGACCCTGCTCTTCCTCAGGCTCCAGAACCTCTCACTGAGCTCCTGCAGGGAAGTCCCCACTCAGAGCCCTCAGCCCTTCCTGCTTTCAGGCTGCAGATGTCAGAGCACCCTTGGGTGCCAGCCACAAGTGCTCCTCTGGCAGGCTGAGCCCCCAGCAGGAGGCTGCCCTGACTCAACCCCAGCCCGGGGCTTTGTGCTGCCCCTGAGGGAGTAAATCCTTGTTGAAAGAATGAAGTGTCAAAAGGTTGTGTGTGCGTTTCTGATTTCTTGTTGACCATGAACCTTGTGTCTGGAGGGTGACTCTGACCTGAGTGCCAGCCACCTCCCCCCTGGCAGAGACAGAGCACTCCCTTGTGCAATGCTGTGATGCAGGGACTCGTGGTGATGGAGAGCCCATCCAGGCCCAACAGGCTGGGAAGGGCAGGAATCCAGGGGGTTAGGGAGTGGCCAGGAGGGCCTGGGATCCAGAGAAGGGCAAAGCGTGTCCAAACCCCGGGCCATGTGGAGGCGCGGTCTACATTGACCCGGCGGCAGGGCCATGCCGCCTAGGAGGACCTGCTGGCCTCGGTTCTCCACTTGGGTGCACTACAGACAACCCCAGAACCTCAGATTCAAATTCAGCATCTGGGGCTGGGGTCCCAGGAGCGGCCTGCTAGGCACCCTGCTGGAAGATGGAGGGGGCGGTATGAGCTCCCTCAGGGTGATCTCTCTCTTTCTGCACCCCGCCCTCAGCCTGTCTTTCCCGGCAGGCCTCAGGATGACCCACTGTGGATAAAGAAGGGAACTTCAGGCCAGGCGCGGTGGCTCACGCCTGTAATCCCAGCACTTTGGGAGGCCGAGGCAGGCGGATCATGAGGTCCGGAGATTGAGACCATCCTGGCTAACACGGTGAAACTCTGTCTCTACTAAAAAAATACAAAAAATTAGCTGGGCATGGTGGTGGGCACCTGTAGTCTCAGCTACTCAGGAGGCTGAGGCAGGAGAATGACGTGAACACGGGAAGCGGAGCTTGCAGTGAGCCAAGATTGCGCCACCGCACTCCAGCCTGGGTGACAGAGGGAGACTCGGTCTCAAAAAAAAAAAAAAAAAAAAAGAAGGGAACCTCAAGCCCAGCTCCCGGGACACGTGCCTAGCCCAATGCTGGGGCGGAAGAGGCTGGCTGGGCATGTTCAGACCTCCCTGGTCATTTCCAGCCCTCTCGTCCACACATGGCTGTAGAGGTGACCGCAGGTTTCCCCACGTGAAATAAAATCCTGAAGTCGGTCCAGTTGTCCTAAGCTCACAGCTGTTCACCCAGGGTCCCAGAGCCCCACAGGCTGTGGAAAAGGGGTTTGCCCAGGGGACTGTGCACTGGAGCTTCCAACCACCATATTGTGCTGGGAAGCTGGGAACACTGGGTAGGGCCAGGAGGGAGAGAGGGAGGAGGACAGGGAGGACGGGCGGGAGGCGCTGGAAAGGAGAAGTGGCGAAGGCCAGCGCAGGTCAGGAGAGACTGCAGACTACATCCCAGGATGCTTCATGTCTTTCCTAGTTTCCTATTTTATTTTCTGGAATGGGAATAAATACACGGGCTACAAAACTCAGAAGGCTCAGCAGGGAAACAGTGGAAGTGGAATCGCCATCCTTCCTCCCTCAGCCCTCTGTTGTTACAAAATTAACCCACTCTGACAAAAGACAAAATTGCAACAAATTTCATTACAGATCTAACTGGCTTTTATTTGTGATTCGTGAATGTGGTAGCCTCCATTCTACAAAACAGAATGACAGCTGCTCCAGGCAATGGCAGAACACTGGGTTTTGTAAGGTGGGGGCAAAGAAACACTAACAGGAGAGAAGCTGATCAGTTAACATCAGGCTCCTTCAGGTGACTGCAGTGTAAGGGCTGAAGCAGAGGGGCTTGCTTATCACACAGACGCCGGAAGACAGGAATCTCTCATTTCCAGGAAAAACTGGTCTGTTTTGGAATCTCTCTGCTTACTTAAAGTTTCAGTTTGGTGATGTGGCATTTAGCACGAGTGACTGCATTGGGGTTTGGTCTGGTCTGTTGGGACGTGGGGCAGGAGCTCAGTCCAGAGCCAGGGCCACCTGGGATTGTGGTTTCACAACCCTGACCACACCCAATCCAAACAGCCCCAGTGCACAGCCCCCTTTCCTCCTCTCCTCCAGCCCTGGTGGGAGACGTCAGACCCTTTCTATTCCCTTGACATACATACTGTTAACAGAGAAACCATATTCTGTCGAATATCTTAAGGAGGCTTATCCTGAGTCAATATGAGTGACCACGGGCCCAGGAAAACACAAACCCAAGAAGTCTGGGGTCAGTGGGCCCGAAGCAGTCGGATTGCAATTTGGTTTTACGCATTTTAGGGAGGCAGTGGTTACAGGCAAAAACATAAATCACACTTGCCTGAAAAATCTACTTAAAATAATAAAACATGAAAAAAAGGGGGAAAAAAAAGATATAAATCAATCAGGGAAGTATACATTGGTCCAGCCCAAAAAGGTGGGATGTCTTAAAGTGGGAGGGAGGGCTTACGGGTTACGGGTGGCTTTAGAGATTCTTTAATTTGCAACTGGTGAAAGGAGTCAGGCTCTGTAAACTTTGAATCATCAGTAAGGAAAGTTTTCAGTTCAGGTAAGAATGCTATCTATGTAGCAAGATTGCTGGCCTGCAGGCTGACTTAACCCTGGCCTTGCACGGCCTTAGGTCTTGCTTATAATTTGGCATCTTATTGCCCCAAAGAGTCTGTTTTGGCTGGTGTGGTGGTTCACACCTGTAATTCTAGCATTTTGTGAGGCCGAGGCAGGAAGATTGCTTGAGTCCAGGAGTTTGAGACCAGCCTGGACAATATGGCGAAACTCCATCTCTACAAAAAATGCAAAAATTAGCCAAGCATGGTGGCTCTCACCTGCAGTCCCAGCTACTTGGGAGGCTGAGGTGGGAGGATCACTTGAGCCCAGGAGGCTGAGGCTGCAATGAGCCATGATCGTGCCACTGCACTCCAGCCTAGGGGACAGAGTGAGACCTTGTCTCAAAAAAAAAAAAGAAAGCCTCTTCTGTCAGTTTTATGGTTTCTATTTCAACATTAATGCTGGTCGACTGTACCTAAACTCCAAAAGGGAGGGGGTATGAAGAGGTGTGTCTGACCTCCCTTCTCATCAAGGCTGATAATTTAGATTTTATGGGTTTTCTGGGGTCCCCTTGGCCAAGTGGGATTCTGTTCAGTCAGTGGGGGGCTTAGGATTTTATTTTTAGTTTACAACACACACGTAAACTTTAATGAATTTTTACTGCCCAGGACATCCTCCCCAGCTTAGCAGGCACCGCAGCGGGCAGCTCCCCCAACCTTCTGCACAGCTGCTCTCCTGGAGGGAGCAGTTAATTTAAACACTTCCCCGTTGATGGACATTTAAGTTACTTCCCATTTGCTGTTGAAACAGTGCTGCACTCACTCCTTCCTTCCCAGAAGTGTTCGCCATTAAAGTCCTCTTCCAGATTGTCAAAATGAAACTGACTTGTCAAAGAAAAGACGCATATTTTTAATGAAGAGCGCCTCTTGCCTCCACCTCCACCCACTGCCCACTGTCTTGGGGCCCTGGCATGGATGTCTGGACCCCAGGCCTATATGAACATCACACACCCTGCCTTTGGGAGGGGAGATGTCGTTTTTTATTATTACATGTAAAGACCTTGGAAGTGGCCATTCTCACCCTTCAACAAGGAAAAGCTGGACACACCAGCTTTTTTTTCTTGACCCATCTGAAAAATGAAGTCATAGGGCAAAGAACCTTCCAGAAACCTGGAGAGCCAGACCATCCAGAGAAATTCAACAACCAAGGCCTATGGTTGGGAGCAAAAGTCTCCAGATACCCAAAGCCGGTAGAAACACTGAAATTACAACGTTGACACGTGGTTGCAGGCTGAAGAAGCGGGGGGATGGGCATTAAAAAGGGTCCAGTGTCAGAGGCTTTTCCTCCAGGAACCACTTCACATTTTCAGAGTGAGGATCAGACAAAGACCCTTCCTTCCACCCCTACCCCTGCAAGGGGAGGTGGGGAAAGAGGGTTTTTGTTTTTTTGGTTTTTTTTGAGACGGAGTCTCGCTCTGTCGCCCAGGCTGGAGTGCAGTTTTGCCGTGATCTCAGCTCACTGCAAGCTCCGCCTCCCGGGTTCACGCCATTCTCCTGCCTCAGCCTCCAGAGTAGCTGGGACTGCAGGCGCCGCCACCTCGCCTGGCTAGTTTTTTGTATTTTTCAGTAGAGATGGGGTTTCGACCGTGTTAGCCAGGATGGTCTCGATCTCCTGACCTCATGATCCGCCTGCCTTGGCCTCCCGAAGTGCTGGGATTACAGGCGTGCGCCACTGCGCCCGGTGGAAGAGGGTCCTCTTGAAGCCCTCCAAACTTCTCCTTAACAAAGCCTTCCCTGAGGGCTATTCTGAAACCTTTTCAAGCTAGAGGAAGGGGTTCTGCCCCCTCCAGTCCTCTCCAGCCTCAGGTCTCAACCAAGGGAAAATAAGCAAAGCGACAGTCAACAAGGGAGACGGCTTCAAGAAAGCAGGCGGGAAGCACTGGCCAGGGAAGGGACCAGGGCTCTGAAGGATCGGCCCCACCCTGAGACCGAGGCACCGAAACTAAAAGAATGAGGCCTGATTGGAGGTTGGAAGACAAGGGAACACCCCCTCCCCACTTGCCAGCACATGGTGCCACCACACTAACAAGGCTCCGGTAGTAACAGTGGGTTACAGCTAGCAGAGCGAACAGACAAACTCTCTCTGATGACCGGAATCAAAGGAAGCCACAGAGAAGAAAGAAGAGAAAAAAGCCCCCTCGAGTGATTTGAAACAGCTGGTGGCCTAAAGCTATGACAAATATTACAACAGCCCAACTCCTGGCCAGATTAATAAACCCTGATATTGAAAGCCTATTGACCTCAGTACCTATGGCCCAATATGTACAACATGTCTGGCTTTAGACAAAAAAATTACAAAGCCTGTTAAAAGCAAGAAAAACCAAAGCCTAAAGAGACAGAGAAACCATCAGCAGCTGATTCACATATGACACAAATGTTGGAATTATTAGATGGAATATCAAATAGCTATCATTAATATGGTACAAGCTTTAATGGAAAAAGTAGACAACTTACAAGAACAGGTAGGTAATGTAAGCTGACAGAATTCCAAGAAAAATAAGAAAGAAATGTTAGAAATCAAAAGCACTGGGCCGGGCGCG